ATTCATAGATTAAACCATGAAATTGACCCAAATAACAAACACCCATAGTCAATCTAACCTTAAATCACAACACCCATCAATTACCCACACTAGGGTTGAGCCACAACCCTAGCTAATGGGTCTAGCTACTCATGCTTGAAGAGAAAAACAGAGAAATAGATGAAGATAAAGACATATTAATTAATTGCTAAGGTAAATACAAAGATTCAATGATAAAAACTAAGTAAAAATGCCCAAAAATTGCTAAGAAAAGTCTTCTCACGAGCGCAGCTAATGTTTGATAATATCTGATACCCTAAAAATGGAAAAAGGTTCTATTTATACTAAGCTAGAAAAACTGGACAAAATTGTCCCTACGGGGTCAGTGCGGCCGCACTAGGCTCTTGACTCTGCAAATTCAACTCTCTGAACCCAGGCTTCGCGGACCGCACAGAATGGACTGCGGCCGCGGAGGCATCTAATGCGGTCCGCACAAACATGACCGCGGACCGCATAGGCTTGATCTTCAGAACTTGGCATCTCTCTGAACTTTGGTTCTGCGGACCGCACAGACTGGTAGTGCGGCCGCGGTGCCTTCAGTGCAGGTCGCACAATATCTACTACGGCCGCACTGCTTTAATGCTTGAAAAATCAACTCTCTGAATCTCCCTAGTGCGGACTGCACAAAGTGTAGTGCGGCCGCACTAGGCCTGTTTCTCCTGAGTTTTGTCTTACCTTTGGTACTTGTGCCGGTTTCACTCTTTTTGAGCCGATCTTTAACATCTCGTCACTTTGTTGATCAAACCTGCAATCAAGCACAACTTATGATCCTTTTGGGACTATTTTGTATGAATTTATAATCAAAACGTAAGCAAGAAGGAGCATGAAATGCGTCAAAATCCCTAGTTATCACCGTCGAACGTTCTTTTGTAAAGGTCGTGATTTATGATGCTATACTTGGCTGCCTGCATTCGAAGCTTTTTGGCTTCCTTTTTATCTTGTTGGAGTGTTCCCTCCTGCAAATAAGTCATGATGCGGTTGCGCCAATCCCAAGTCAAGTTTATAGAATGTACCTCAATTTGGTCTATTGACGAGTGGAGGAGGGTGACCATACTCTCCTTGGTGATATTTTTGGTTGTTGCTACCAGTTTGGCGAGGCCATCCGCTTCGATGTTTTGCGCCTGGGGTATCTAGTCGAGTCGGCATTCATCGAATTCTGGTAGTAGCTTATGGATTTCTACCCGATATTTTTGTAGCCTTTGCTCCTTGATTTGGAAAGTCCCAGTAACTTGGTTAAAGACGAGTTGTGAGTCGCATCTGAGGATGACTCGTCGTGTACCATATTTGAGGGCTAGTTTTAGTCCTGCAATTACGGCCTCATACTCGACCTCGTTGTTAGTCATTCCGGGGCACTGTATGGATTAGCGAATCACTTCGCCTGTTGGGACTTCAAGTATGAGTCCCAGTCCAGACCCCGACGCATTAGATGCGCCGTCGGTGTAGAAGACCCAGAGATCGGGTTGCCCAGGGGAGGTGCGAAGTGCTTCCTGCTCGACCTCGGACAATATTTCTGCACTAAAGTCGGCGACGAAGTTGGCGAGTACCTGCGACTTTATCGTTGTTCGCGACTGATATGTTATATCGGCTCGCTCAATTCTATGTCCCACTTGACTAATCGTCCCGACAATTCGGATTTCTGCAGGATGCTCCTGAGGTGGAAAGTCATCACCACTGATATGGGGTGATATTGAAAATACGGTCTAAGCTTGCTTATCCGTTGCCATGATTGTCAAATTTGGACCCATAGAGTTCTCTCCCTCTTTTATCAATACAAACTAGAATAAATGCAAAATATCATTACCTTCATGATTTTGCAAACTGGGAATCTTAACATGTTAAGTCAATAAATACACGATATTTTCTCATTCGGAAGTCGATAATGCAGACAAATTTGGATATAGCTTTGTTGTCATTAGAAAGATTGTTGATTTAATGGGATTAATTGGTCACTAATTAGTATCTTAATTAGTAACAATGTCAATTTTCGATTTTGTAACAAAGTTATTAATAATTTTAAACTAAAATATGTATAGTGATATGGATTTGGGTGCACCCACGGCCGCACGTCCACCCTATAAACTCGTTGGGTTCTATACGGAGTAAGCAATGCATCCCATCATAACTGCGATCCAAATGATTTCCATCATTGCACTCACTACAAGGAGGCAACAAACTTTGTTTGGTAACAAAGCTAAGGTGGCATTTGTTTTAAGGGAAAAAACCCCAGCTTAATCTTAACACAATGCAAAAAATTAATCCAAATTCCAAACCCCACCAAGAATATAGTATTATTTTTTCTTTCGACGAATCTCCATTTTTTTTTTTCATTTTATGATAATTTTTCGATTTCAGTCTGTGCAAACCTATTTCTTTTTTGTTCGTTTCAAAAAGAATAACTCCTTTTTTAATTTAAAAATAATTTAGCTTAAACTTACAATTCTAACCTTAATGATAAGCTTTTATATCCACACAAATACTCTGGGCCCCTTTTTAACATGTTTAAGACCATAAATTTCAAAAGTTTTCATTTTTTCTTAAACTCTATGTCCAGTCAAACCGGTTCACATAAATTAGTACAGAGGGTTTATATGGTACTTTTTCATTTCTCGAGATTTAAATTATGTATATTTTGATCAATATTTTAAAATATAGTATCTTTTATCACTGACATGAGAAAAATTACAACTTATAGTAATTTTTGTATAATTTTTAAATATCTAAAATTTAATTTTTAAAATATTAAATTGATCTAATCTAACTTAGCTTTAAAGATTAGCTAAAATAATTCTCAAGAAATAAAAAGTAGCACATGAATTAGGACAGTGGGAGCTTCTGTGTTTTGAGACACATTTACTAGCACAACAAAGCTATATCCCAAGCCATATAATATCACCTTATCCCATTAATTTTTTTGTTGTTTTGTATCAAATCTCTTAAGAAATTTTATTTTGAATGAAATTTTTTGAAAATAAAATATTAGATATTTTAACAGAATTACTTTCTTTTGTTCAAATGGTGTGAGCGGTGAGAGGTGTGAGCGACTGGCTGTGGTGGGTACGAGGAGAGGTAGAGGGAGACCTAAGAAGTATTGGGGAGAGGTGATCAGGCAGGATATGGCGCGACTTAGGGTTATTGAGGACATGGCCCTAAACAGGGAATTATGGAGATCGAGCATTAAGGTTGTAGGTTAGGGAAAATTGTATTTTTTTTTCCTACAGCGCACTAGAGTGAGACTAGCCAGTTAGGAATTAGTCTTAGGATGCTATTGATCAGCTACTGATGATGGGCTTTATCTGCTGTTTATTAGTATACCTTACATCTTTCTCGTATTTCCTATATCTCTTATATTGCTGTTATTTTGTTATTTTATGGTATTTATGTTATGTTATGGATTTTATGGTATTTTATGTTATTTTATTATGAGTCTATTGATAGTACTAATATAGTGTCTCTTGTTGCCTTCTTGAGCCGAGGGTCTCCTGGAAACAGCCTCTCTGCCCCTCGGGGTATAGGTAAGGTCTGCGTATATATTACCCTCCCCAGACCCCACTTGTGGGATTACACTGGGTTGTTATTGTTGTTGTTGTTGTTGTTCAAATGGTAAAGAGTTATAGCTTGTTTGGCCAAGTTACTAGAATTATCTTATTTTGAGAAGTGTTATTTCTCAAAGTGCTTTTTTCAAAAATACTTTTGGTGAGAAGCGATTTGTGTTTGGTTAATTAATTTGAAAAATACTTTTGAACAGGAATTAGTGTTTGGCCAAGCTTTTGAAAAGTGATTCTAAGCATTTTTTGGAAAAACTAATTTTTTTTCTCCAAAATTGCTTCTTCTTTTACTTTTTTTTCTTCTAAAAGTTTGTTCAGATATTTTTTTAATATATATTGAATTATTTCATCGAATAAACTATGCTGTAATTTCCATACGTTTGTCCTTTTGCTATTGTTTTTTGTTTTTTTGCCGTATCCGTCTTACCTATTTTGTGTCACTTAAAAAAGAAACAAAGCAGCTCCACTACCAGAGGTAACGGTGGCTTGTCGTTTTGACTACACTCAAAAATGGCGAAAGACTCTCCAAAACCTCCCAAGGTAAATTTCTTATCAATATCTCTGCCGATTTACTGTTTTGGAATAGTAAAAAGTAAACGGGTTCTTCTGGGTTTTGCTGGAATTTTTTCATAAACAGAGATCTGGGATTTCACCATTATCTTTGCATTTTTTAAGGTGATTTTTTTTTTAATTATGTGACAGCCGTCGAATCCATCGGTAAGCATATGGGCAGCACAATGTGGAAAATGCTTCAAATGGAGAATGATTTCAACACAAGAAGAGTTTGAAGAAATCAGAAGTAAATTTATTGAAGAACCCTTTTTCTGCAACAAAAAGCCTAATGTTTCTTGTGAGGATCCAGCAGATATTGAGTACGATTCATCTCGAACTTGGGTTATTGACAAACCCAATACGCCTAAAACCCCAAATGGGTTTAAGCGAAATATGACCCTGAGGAGAGATTATTCTAAAATGGATATTTATTATGTTACTCCTCCAGGGAAAAGAGTAAGATCTTCTACTGAGTTGGGCACTTTTCTTCAGCAAAATCCTGAGTTCAGCGATTTATCAGTTTCAGATTTCAGCTTTACCAGCCCCAAAGTTATGGATGACACTATACCCTCTAGCGCTGTTCTTGCTAACTCCAACAAGAAGGCTGCAACTAGTATCACTAAATGAGGTAGTGGACGTAGTAGGTTTTTTTGTTGTGTTCTGTTGGTGCAGTTTTCACAGTCATGTTATTTGTTTGCTGCCAATTTTTCACAATAGCATAGTTTTCTTGTAGAACATCTTTCACAAATGTGACTGTTCCACTTTTACAATGTTCTTGAATGGTTGGAAGAGCTTATTTTTATTTTGTATAATATTAGTCTGACATGAGTATGGTTAGTGAGGATTGATACCCCAACTTGTTTGGGACTGACCAGAGATAGAGGCTGTGAATTCTTCTCAACAGAAAATGTTTTTTTTTTTTTTCGGTTTTTGGTAGGAAAACCCAAATCTTGGAATATACTAGTCTACTGGATGGTAAAACTCAGACCTGAATAATGACATTCTTAAAAATATTGAAGCAAAATATGTAACTTCGCCTGTGTACTGTTTGCAAGGAGCATAGAAAGAGAATTGCTTGAAGGGGAGCCTTGGCGTAACTGGTAACGTTATTGACACATGTGACTAGGAGATCACCGGTTCGAGTCGTAGAAATAGCCTCTTGCAGAATTGCAGGGTAAGGTTACATACAATAGACCGAGCTTAATGCACCGGGCTACCTTTATAGAGAGAGAACTGCTAGGAACAACATAGAAAGCTAAGATCACAACATGGTTATGGAATGAATCAGGGGCCAAGATTCTCCCAATTTGCAAACTCGTTTCAGTCTTTCAACTCTTGTCAGATTGAAAAAAGAACAATATGACTATATGAGCATTCTTGCATTCTCAAGCTCCATGTCGATCTCTCATAAAATATTCAATTCCCACTCTTCTACTGATGAGAGCTCACTAGAATGGGATCATCTTGTGTGTTGTTCGTAAAGCTCACTTGTATATAGCCTGCTCTCAGAAGGACTAGTTGAGAACACCATCATCGATCACCTATACTGCAGAAAACTTGCAAGTTTTTCTGTAGGTTGGCCTGTTCTTTTCTTCTGTCTGAAAGAGTCATCGCTTGCATCTTCTTCATTTCCAGTTATCTACATACTGGACATTGGATACTTCCAGTTTGACAGGGTTTACACCCTCACAATTTAACTGTGAACATTCCTCTTCCTCCTTAAGCTCACTAGCAGGGGAAGTGTCAGATCAGTTGGCAGCAGAGTTCATACTATGAAGCATGTATCTGCAAGTTTAGCATCTCACATTTCATCTTCTTCACTTGCAGTTTTATGCAGGCATTTCTTATTCTCCTTAAATTTATAAATATGCTGTTTCATACATCAAGTTGTGTATAGAAAGAAAGTTCGTTCTTGTTCAAAGAGATAAAGTCATGCGACCCTTCAAGATAGGGGCTTCGGTCATGTTAGAATCTATGTCAAATCTTCCACTTCCAGGCAGCTTACTTCTCACTCTCAGTAACGTCTGTTCTGCCTCATGATATTGAACTGATCAAGCTCTGCAGATCAAAACATGTAAAGATTGCAGAAGTACTAGTACAAAATTAAATATGATCTCAACCAAAGCACCTCAGTCCAATCACCTTATAACTGTTGTGCTACTTATTGTTTTACGTTTCTCCGTATTAAAATCACCATAAAGGAAACTTATATGCCAGACGGAGATCCACAACAGCAGAACTGCATATCCGAAGATACGTGTATATCTCTTTTTTCTTGCTTAAAATAGGAAGAATCGAAAGAAGACCGAAGCAACGCCAAGTAGTGACGAAGCCAGGAATTTCATTTAGGGTGTTCAAATTTGAAATAAGTAAAAAAAAAAAATTCTCGATAAAGGGTGTTCAATATATGTTATATACTATTAAAATCTAATATTTTACCTATATATACAGTGTAATTTAAGGATTGGAGTTATTATGTGGAATAGTTAAAGGTGTTCAAATACCACTTGTTAAAAGTATCTCATACACAAGTTTGCTCATTATCTGTTGAGTTCCACATCGGGTGGGAGTTAACAAATGGAAGTCTTTATATGGTATTGACCAATCCTCACAACATGAGTTAACTTACGAGGTTAAGTTAGGTCCAAAATCAATTTCGTTGACATAGATTCAACCCAGCACGAGGGTCCAAATGTGTGGTGGAGCATAGGAGTATTGGAAGAAGAACGAGCTTGTCATAAATTCGTTGTTGTCAATGCAAAATTATTCTTGAAGAGGAAAAAACAGTATATTACGCATTAGATAGATGTTTTAGCCTTTTTGGCCATAAGTGTTTTTTTTTTTTTTTTTTGCCAAAAGCATTTTTGGCAAAAAATTGAGGTGTTTGGTCAAGCTTTTGGAAGGAAAAAAATACTTTTGAGGAGAAGCAGAAGTAGTTTTCGAGAAGCAGAAAAAAGTAGCTTCTCTCCAAAAATACTTTTTCCATAAGCACTTTTGAGAAAAATACACTTAGAAGCAGTTTTTTAAAGCTTGGCCAAATACTAATTGCTGCTCAAAAGTGTTTTTCAAACTAATTAGCCAAACACAAACTACTTTTTACCAAAAGTATTTTTGAGAAAAGCATTTTTTGAAAAAAAAAAAGCACTTATCAAAATAATCTGATTTTTGCGTCTTGGCCAAACGGGCTAGAAAGCTCTGTGTAAAGTAAACGATCATGCACCTAAGCAAGATGTTAACAAATTTCTATTTTTTTTCTTCCTGAGGTGGATAATATTTTATGGTATTTTCTCATTTTGATTAGTGAATTATTAATATGTACAAAATTTAGTTCTTATCATTTTAAATAATAATAATAATAATAATACTCACGAGGCTATAAATTTTATTTTCTTTTTTTAGTAAATAACGTCAATTCAAATGTTGTACTTTTTCTGTTCATTTTATATGACACGATTACCTTAGGATGTCAAACATTTTTAACAAATTGGGATTTAATATGTTGATAAAATATAATTTCTAAATCGATGTAAGATATTATTTAAAAATATAAAAAATCAATATATTATTATTTGGGAAATTTTTGTTCCTATACCATATAGGAAACTATATTACCAAATATGTTCATAGTTTGCATATTACCCTTCATGCTAATAGTATTTCTACATAATATATACAATGCATTAAATAAGAAATCATTATAGTTGTAGGATTCCTTATTTATGCGCGTTAAAAATGGGGAATTAAATATTTTCCAGATCTTCCAACGCAAATCACGCACAGTAATCACTATCGTCGACTTCTTTACAAAATTTTCGTTCTCTGTTTTTTGCGCTAAACTCTGTTTCAACATTTTCTCTAATTTCACAAATCAAAATCGACAAAATCTTCTACAATTCTTCTACAACAAAAGCAATTATGACGAAAATACAAAGCAAAGGAAAAGAGAGCAGCAATTCCACCATTGACAACCATTAAAAAGCTTTGAAGCTTTGAATTCAAATTTTGTGTTTTCAAAAATCATTATTTGTTTGGATTGGGTGTTGTTGAAAATAATTAGGAATATGGTTTGAAGTTTATATCTCAATTTTGAGGGGTTTTGGTGAAGATTAGACTTTGTTTTGACTGAATTTCAGATTGAAACTCGAAAAAGAAGAAGAAGAAGAAGAAGAAGAAGAAGAAGAAGAAGAAGAAGAAGAAGAAGAAGAAGAAGAAGAAGAAGAAGAAGAAGAAGAAGAAGAAGACGTATATGGCAGAAATTGTAGAAAAATTGTAGATAAATTGTAGAAAAATTGTAGACAGATGTTTATTTATTTTTCTTTTATTCATTTACATATTGTATGAAAGTTGAACAACATTGTATAAAANGTAAATTGTAGATTATTTGTATTTTGATTGTAGATGCTTTGTTTTCTGTTTTCATAAATCAAAAACGACTAAAACTTCTACAAATCTTCTGCAAAAAACGCAATTATGTCGAAAATCCCGATTATGCTACAATTCTGTGATTCTCCTATATGCTCTTGTTACTCCTTACGAAACTGCTATGCTAAATATGGAATCCAAAAAAAATATTTCTACAATTTTTCTTTAATTTAACTACAATTTTTCTATAATTTCTGCAATATACGTCTTCCTCTTCTTCTTCTTCTTCCTCTTCTTCTTCTTCTTCTTCTTCTTCTTCGACGAATTTCAATCTGAAATTCAGCCAAAACCAAGTCTAATCTTCATCAAAACCCCTCAAAATTGAGATATAAACTCCAAACCATATTCTCAATTATTTACAACAACACCCAATCCAAACAAATAATGATTTTTGAAAATCCAAATTTGAATTCAAAGCTTCAAAGTTTTTTAATGGCTGTCAATGATGGAATTGCTCTCTTTTCCTTTCCTCTTATATTACTAAAGGAACCCGAAATCATAACCATCAAAAGTTATTGATGTGTATGAAACTTTGAAGATTTGACTTCAATTTTGACTGGTTGTAGAAGAAAAAACCTTGATTTTGGACGTTAATGGTAGAGGGTTTCAATTATTTTTCTGGATTTAGCAGAAGGTTTCAATTGTTTTTTCTGGTTTCTAGGTGTGTGGTGATACGTGGGTAGGGTGTGGGGTTGGGAGAGAGAAACGTAGGGGGATTTGGAGGAATATACGGTACCATAAATGTAGGAGTGATATAAGGTACAATTAATGTACAGTTAAAAAATCTTATGGTATAGAATTGGTAATTAGGTGTTACACCCCAAGTTTTCATACGTGAGAGTATGTCGTAAGTCATTGATGTAAACTCGGAAATGAGATTCTATTTGGAAGCAAATAAAGTAAGTTAATTATGTTACCTTGGAGGTTACAAATATTTAATATTATGAATAACGAGTACCAAGAGGGTTGGAAATCTTAGAAGCTAAACCAATTGAAGAAAATAAGTTTCGTCGAAAGTCGACAAGTTTCGAATGTTATAACATGTACTTTGGGGTGAGACTAGGGTTATTAACATGATAAGGAGGTTATTTTATGAGTTATTTTAGTCGTATGATATTCATTTTCTACATTTTGAAGGCAAGCAAGTTGTGGAACAAGAGTTGGCAAAGGTCATCACAAGTTACATTCATAAATTTGCTGAAATTTAGGTCAAATGTATCTGAAAATTTCTCCAAATATACTTGGAATCATGGGGTGTTATACCTACCAAATTGAAGATCTACAAGTCTAGTTTCTAACGCATTAAACCGTTCATCAATACGACATCGGAGTAGAGACATATTCGCGTTTTCGCGAGACCGCGCAAGCAGCTCCCAATGGGACCCACTTAGGTGGTGGTTGACCTACTTCAATTTATAAACGATTTGGACGCCTATTTTTGCTCATTTTTCAAC